ATTTGAGTCTTGCTTATAGGTAAGATGGACATTAGGGGTGTGTCACAGATAGCAAAAAACACACTTTAGCACAGTAGAGTGTTCATGCCCAGGGCATGCAGCATGACAACTCAACATGCCTACAGTACAGGCAAGGTCGGGCCTTGTTGCTAGCATTGCATACATAAGGGCTCTGAGAGCACCCTGGTATGACTTGGTGTCAGCCTCTGGAATTTCTAGTTTTTTGAGCTTTAGGTTAGGCTCAATGGGGGTCATGATGGCTCGCCCCTCACTCATTCCAAAGCGCTCAAGAATACTCTCAACATATCTCTTCTGTGAGAGCTGTATGATACCTTTATCATGGTCATGAAGTATCTCAATTCCTAAAATCCAATGTGCCTCCCCCAGATCTTTCATCTCATACTCCTGTGAGAGCTGAGCCTTGATGCACTCAATGGTTGTGCAGCACTTTGAGAGTATTAGCTTGTCATCTACATAGACAGCAACAACAATGAGTATGCTGTTCTCAACTTTAAAGAAGAGGCTATGGTCAGCCTGGCTTCGAGTGAAACCCAGGGATTCGAAAACAGTATGAAGATGAGAGTACCATGACTTGGGGGCCTGTTTAAGGCCATAGAGTGCTCATAGCAGCTGCCAGACTTTGTTGCTGTCAGGAGGAAAGCCCAGAGGGGGGTGAAGGTATATTTCTTCATCTAATAGTCCATTTAGGAATGTGGATTTAACGTCCATCTGATGAATTTTGAGATTATACTTAGCAGCAAGCACCAGGAGTATGCAGATGGTTGCAAACTTGGTGACAGGTGCAAACATCTCCATGTAGTCGATCCCATGTACTTGTGTAAAGCCTTTGGCTACCAAACGAGCCTTGTACCTCTCAATTTCACCAGTCAGCCCTTGCTTGATCTTGTAGACCCATTTCGAGTCAATCAGTTTATGGCCAGGAGGCAGGGCAACTTCCTTGTACAGTCTGATGGACTTAAAGGTCTGTAATTCATCAATCATCACAGTGTACCACTGATCTGCATTGGTGCATCACATTGCATTGTTGAATGAGCAAGGTTCATTGTCATGTGTTGTGGATGCTTTGTAAGCCACTTCCTCATTCATCTCAGCCACCTCAGCCTCACTGTTGCCACATGCACACTCTTGCTCTTGAGCAACTTTGTTGATGGGGCTTCCACCCTCACTCTCTGCACCTGAACCCTCCAGCGCCTCAAGCTGTTGACTAGGTAAGGTTGTCCTGTCATAGGAATTGATGAAAAAGCAATAATCATCATCTCTAGGTGGCACTTTTCATGTTCTGGTGGACCTGCAGGTCTCTCGAGGTGGAATTGGAGTTGGATAGGGCTGTGGGGGTGTCGCTTTATGCATGGTAGGTTTCAGCATTGTCCTAGCTCGCTTTACTGATGGTTTTGAGGCCATTTCAAGCGCTTTTTTAGGACTCTGGCTGCTGCCTGGCATGTTACCCTCTGAGTGCTGTGGGGAATGATCTACCATTGATCCTGAGTGATCAGGTGCATCGTTTGACTCGATTTAGACCTCATGGACAACATCTTCACTCTCTCCCTCACTAGACTCAAGATCCCCATCATCAGACTCCATGTGAGCACAGCCTTCCATGCCTGAAGCCCTGATGGTATCCAGGTGTGACATATTGCCCTTTTGGGCATTCCCTCTTATGTCCGCTGGTTTACTAACCATGCCTGCAGGATCTTCTGCTATCCAGATGTGATCTAGGCCTGCTGCTGTGCTTCCCTCATCAAATACTACATCCTGGGATTTGAAGACATGACCAGTGGGCTGGTGTAAGCATAGGTATGCTTTCTTGTTCTCCACAAAGCCCAGATGAATGCATTTTAAGGACTTTGCATCTAGCTTCTTTCTTCTTTCCTCAGGTATATGTACATGTGCAGTGCAGCCAAAGGTTCAGATATGGGCCAGCAATGGCTTAATCCCTGTAAAGGCTTCATATGGTGTGACATCCTCAGAGATAGCACAGGTCAGTGATCAGTTGATTAGGTAGGCTGCATACTGGATAGCATCCCCCCAATATTTATTTGGCAGTCCAGCATCTTTTAGCATCACCCACACACTTTCAACAAGTGTGCAGTTCATCCGCTTGGCAATGCCATTCTCCTGTGGGGTATAGGCATTTGTCTTCTTGTGGTGGACCCCTTTCAACTTGAGGTAGGCCTTGAACTCATCTGAGCCATACTCCCCACCTCTGTCACTCCAAAAATAATTTGCTTCTTTGCCAGTCTCAACTTCAGCTCAAGCAAGGTAGTCTTTCACTGAGGGGAAAACTTTGTCCTTGGATTTTATTAGTTTAACCACAAGGTGGTGTGAGCAAGCATCAATGAAGGTTACAAAGTAGCAGTGTCCAGTTCGGGCTGTAGTCTCCATGGGGCCACATACATCAGAGTATGTCCAGTAGAGTACTGTTGGGCTTTCAACATTTGACCTGATGGGTATCACCTTATGGTGTTGCTTCCCTTCAAGGCAAGGTTGGCATACTGAGTTTGAGTGCTCAGTGCCAGTAAGCTCCATGCCTTCAACCATTCCCGCTTTAACCAGTTTAAGCACAGATTTTGTATTTGCATGCCCAAGTTGTTGGTGCCACAAGTCAAGTGTGGCTACAGACTTTGGTGCTGCAGCTGCGAGTGCCAGGAAAGTAAGGGTAGGGTCAAGTAGTGGAGATGGTCCTTGTATGACAAGTGCTCCATGACTTGGAGAGTGAGTCCTTGCTGCAAGGATGTAGAGTGAGCCTTGATGATGACCCACACCTACAGTGTCTGTACCATCAGTGATTGAGCATGTTCCACCCATGAAGGTGACCTGGACATTTCTAGTGGCAAGGTATGCCACTGAGAGGAGGTTTGTGCTGAGATCTGGAACAAAATAGACCTTCTGCAGTAGGATTCTACTGGTCTTCCCATTTGGAAGATCCATACAAAGTTTGATCCATCTGATGGCAGTAGCAGGAATTGTGCTCCCATTTCCAATGACTACAGGCTGCAGGGGTGAGAGCATCTTTAGTGAAGTGAACCATTTCTGCTGACAGCACATATTCACAGAGGCACTGGAGTCAATGACCCAGTGCATGTGTAGATTCTCACCATTGTCAGTGGCCATGAAGAGCCATAGGACGCTGTCTTCAGCAGGTGAGATGCACATGACTTTAGCAACAAGTTTGTCCTCCTTAGGCTTATCCTTTTCAGCCTGTGACAGGGACTTGGCTGCCTCATCAGCCTTCTTCTTGTAGCAGTCATCTTTGACATGGTTCATCTTCTTGCAATAGCCACAAGCCTTTTTCTTTTTCTTGTCATTCCTCTTTCCCTTTTTGTTAGGTGTCTTTGTTACAAGGGCAGTTTGTGCCAAAGAGGTGCAGCGAGACTTCTCTTCTATCAAGACTTGGGAAATGACAGAGTCCAGAGTTAGTTTCTCATCAGATGACATGAGTATAGTGCAAAGAGTTGAGTACAAGGTTGGAAGGGAGATGACCATGGCTATGGCAACAAGAGAGTCTTCAAGGGGCTGTCCAAGAGACTTTAGGATTGTTGCCTTCTGCCACATGGCATTAAGCTGCATCTCCATCAAGATGTCATCTGCTAGGGTACCATGAAATAGTTCGCCAATAAGGTAGGCTATCGTTTGTTTCCCTTTGCCTTCATAGTGCTCGCATAGCTTTTTCCAGACTTCTGCTGCCATCATGGCATGCAGAACACCACTAAGTGGGTTGTCCTTTAGAGTAAGCATGATTTGAGCCCTTGCTTCTTTATCCTTGTAGTGCCAGTCTGTGCATGCAACTGGATTAGCTGCTGCATCAGGTGCCTTCAACTTTCCTTCTACAAGCTCCCAAAGTCCACAGACATCTAGGATCATCATAATTTGGTACTTCCACATCTGGAAGTTCAAACCATTGTCTTTGAGGGACAGTATGTCATAGAGTCAACTGGAGGCTTGAGTAGCTTTACCCAAAGGTGTAGTAGAGGTTACTGTTGAGGTGGAGACTGGGACCTTTGAGGGACCGGAAGTGGATGCTGACAGACCAGACATAGTAGACACTTTGTACCAGACTTGATGTGTTCAACTTTCCTAGGATTAGAACTTGCAAGCAGGGCTCATAACCTTTTGGAGGATGATGAGCTGCAGGATTGTCAAGTCTATAGAGAGGAATATACTCAGACTTCAAGTTGGTTGAAGCTGAGGTGCAGTAGGGAAAAAAAATAAACTGCTAAGTGTCCGCTTTTGGATTACATAATGCTGTGCTCAGTGAACCACAACTAAGGTAAAAGTGATAAACTCCAACAATCTGAAAATCTAACAGCTCCTGTCAGTGTGGGGAACCCATGCCCTGCACAGATGTGGATACAATGTTCAGTAATGACCACAAGGTTTCAATGATTTCACTGTCTACCCAGCCAGCACCTTTCATAAATAAGAGGGCATATCATGCATAGCATTCCTGCTTGTGACCATGCACATGCTGGATTCCAATCCCAGGCATAATCTGCAGCAATCATGGGATTTCAATGAAGGAGCTCTTTCCAACCCAAATGTGTAGATTTTTCATGTAAGAACAATTTATGTCATAGAAACAGAGCACCTTGTTGCTGCCTGCCATGTTGTAGTGCAAGGCATTTGCCAGTGAGTAATCTGTATGTTGAGCCAATACCATAATAACCTCTGATGCATACCAGGATGAGTTGATTGCCTAAGATTTGTTGCACCCCATCCAAATGAATTGTCCTCATCTTTGTCAAACTCATCATTGGAGACCTTGCCAGCCTCTGTGTCTAATGGGTTATTACTCAAGGACTCCAACTCCTCTTCTGAGGAGCCCTCTGATGACAGCTCCTCCAAACTCTTGTGGTGAACATCAGCAGTTGCCAAAGTTTGTCTTGATGAGAGTGAGCACTTGGTTGTACAACCATGGCCAGAGCCATAGTCAACAGGCTCTGATCAAATATGGTGGCAGTTAGACACTGAGGAAGGTGGTCATGCACCATCAAAAGAAATCAATCAACAAAGTGTTGGAAGAAGCCAGTATCAAGCAGGGATCTGCAGAAATGATCAAGTCTTATCAGAAGGCCATTGACACCATCATGAAGTCCCTTACTGCCAAGGAGATACAGGAGGCCAAGGCATTGGCCAAAGAATGGAATGAGCGACAGCCACCTCAGGATGTTCAGTCAGAGTACATACCACTTGGCAATGCTGCCCATCACTCACAAGAAACAGAACCACAGAGAAGAAAGGCTGTAAATATGCTGAGGAATTTGCTAAGGAAATGTGGAAGTGGTGTGGTGCCAGGGTGGTAGTGATGGCAGCATGGGAAGATGCTGATGGAGAGATGATAGTTGGAGCATGAGAAATTTGTTCTTTGTGCAGATGAGTACTGCCAGATTTTGACCAACTCATCCAGACATGATTTCAACAATGAATTGGGTAATGGCAAATTATTTGAGGAGTTGGATGAGTGCCAGGATAAATTTGTAAAGTATGCATGAATGGCATTTGGGAATGGTGGCACTGATGCCGAGTCACCAGATGAAGATGCTGCTCCACAGTCAAGGCAGAGAAAGAGCAATGGGAAACCTAAAACCATCCTGCCAGTCAGCAGAAATGGCACACCATACATCCCAAACATATTGGACATGTGGGCACCAAAGTTGAAGGATATCATGTGGATGTTTGTGACATTTCACTATTGTATGTATAACAATAGGGGAAATACTGTTCATTGAAATGCATTACAGGGCAGGCCTGTGGGAATTCACAGGTGACTGTTCCATGGAGTGCAATAATGACCAACACTGCACTTTATATTGCACCACAGTTTCTGCCACCTGAGGCCCCCTTCAAAGAGCCAAGTTGACTTACCCAGGACGAGTTGACAGCAATCTTAGAATGGTGGCAAGAGAGAAAAGAGTGGCATCCAAACAATATATTCAGCTTCAAGAAGTGGAGAGATGCTGGAGGGTCCCTCTGAATGCTGGTGGCAGAGGCCAACAGCAGTGGAGTGAGGATGTGTGTGAAGCAGGATTTGGATGGGAGACCAGAACACTTGGCAGGCAAAAGGATGATGGATAAAATGATGTGGGGTAGGAGGAAGCTGCAATGGCAAATGGGTATGAAGGGATGCAACTGGAACTTAAATGTGTGGCAATATTATCTAATGGGGAACAAAGTTGTAGGGTCTGATTCTGACAATCAATCCAATCTCTGTCAAATTCCACCAACATTGCCATCAAACAGAAATGATGGTACAGGCACAAGCATGGTGGATGAAGATGCTGCAGAGGCAGTACCATTGCTGGATTCCCAGTGGCAGATTGCCAGATGCCAAGTGGCTGAGGGTAACACCTGCCAGCCAATTGGTAAGCCAGCAGGATCACAACAGCTGAATATTGTTAACATTAATGGCTGACATGTTTCAGCCATCAGCAAGGAACCATCAAATGCCTTGCAGCAGGTTGAGGGCGGCATCACAAGCCCTGTGCAACCTGTGCCTGACACCCACCACATTGATTTGCCTGATTCAGTCCACCTGGCAGATCCTTTGGCAGTGCCAACAACTATCAGGAGAGACCATAAACAGGAAGATTCAAAGCACAAGTTGCCCATTCCATTGATGAGTCAGTACTTGTGCTGTGGTCACTGAATTGTGGATTCAATTTATCTCTCAATCCTAGTACCCATGCACAGGACCAGCATAGACAATGCAAGGGGTATGCAGCAATCAAAACAGGTGTGGAAGGCACCAAAGCAGCCTGATGACAATGTTCCTACTCCTAGTCCCTCCAAGAAATGTAGGCAATGTTAGCATTTGTATTTTACATGGCCATGGAATGTGATACTACATTTCAACAACCAATGGCTACATTACAACTAATCCTCATCCAGTTCCAATTCATCCTTGCCATTCCAATTGCTGGTCATCAAATCTTGTATATATTGCTGAGTCCTTTCCAGCTGTTCTCTCCTTGCAAGCAACAGGCAAAACTGGATGCTTGATTCTACCAATATATTGCTGTAGTGGTTGTAGGCCACAACAATTGGCCCATCGGTAGTGGTGTTAAGACAGGGTGGGTGCTCATCAGTCAGTCCTGCAAGAAGAACTGCAAGCCACCATGCTTTTTCCACTGCTGGATGATTGATATATATGTGAGGGATATCATAAAACAGCTTACATGTTGTAATTGGCCCTTTGTCATGAAGTCCTTGTATACCCAAGTTGCTGGAGAAACATTGCAGTGCTCAAAAGTGAGCTAATACACTTAATACTGGCAGCAACAAGAGATGACATGGCACTCACCAGCAGTGGCATTGGTGGCCATAGGCTGGGGGGATGGTTGCCATGATATAGGCAGGATGGGCTGTGGCTTGGAGGCTGCCACACCATCTAACTGCTCATCCATATATGCATGAACCACAGGAGATGCCACAGTTTGTGGAATTTGTGCAGATGCCAGCAATGATCTAGGTGGGGGTGAGACTGCTGGGGAAGATGTTGGCAAATCCCAGCTAGGCACAATGGTGGCCAAGGATGGCATGGAATGACTTGCTTGCCATGCCTCCCATTGTTGATCAGCAGCAGATGGCTGTGACTCTGGTGAAAGTGGTGGTGAGTCCCAAGATGGCACAAGCATGCTGAGTGATGGCCAGGAAGGGCCAGCATTTGGCAGCATGGAGGATGATGGTGATCCTAGCTGATGGCCTGAAGCTGTGGCATTCACAGCTGCACCAAATGGTAGAAATTCTGGTTCATCTATGACCATATCTGTATTGTTGGCACCTGGCAATACCCACAGTTTATTACATGGGGAGATGACTGGTGAAGGTTATTGGTAGTTGTATCTCATAACAACTACTTACATCGAGTGTCCAGACTGCCTGGCCTCCACCTTACTGAATTTTTCTCTGTGATATTCAGCAATCTGTAAAATGTTGATAAGTTGATTGAAATATTGTTCAGTTGTGTCGCAGTGTTGGATTTGGCTATTTGGGCTTGTTTGCCTACTGGCCAGTGTTGATGCTGGCACAATGGTTCATGAAAATATAAAATGTGGCTGTGCTGCTGACACAATTGTCAACTATCACTTGACTGCACTGCTCTCGCACCAGTACCCCACTTCCACAAAAATGTCCCAACATGCTGAAGCATCCCAAACTGCTGCTGCTGCTGCTCCCTCCATCACTCTCCCACATGAAATAGTCACTAATGCTGCAGACATAGTCATGGCAGAGCTTCTGACACTCCATGACCACAGGAACAAGCAATACTGGAAAAGAGCTATGCACATCATTTGGGAACAGTTGGTTCATGGCATGCTGATCTATTTATCCTGTGATATTTACAACATTCCAGACCCGTGTGTGCCCTTTGGTTGAGGAACTGCCCTCAAAATTCACCATCCCTACCCACATCATCGCTGCCAAAATGATTATGAGAGATCTGGTGGTGCTTACAGCATTGAAGGAGTGGCTGAACTTTGACAAGATCAGAGACACAATGGATGCTGATGTTGTGGACCATCCATGGTACCAGATTGGAAGGCCTGTCAATAAGGGTAAAGGGCATGCAGTTCCATTAGACCCACTTCAGACAAGTGACAATGCTGCCACTGCTGCCAAGACTTTGGAAGAACCCTGCAGCTGATCAACCAGTCACGCTGCTCCTACTGGCACTAGTCCTAGAAGTCAAAGGCCACAGAAGCATACAAGGTTGGTGGCAGCAAGTGATGCTGATGTTTTGACAGCAACTGCTGGAGCATCTGCTGGTCATGGCCACTCAGTTGCCACTCTTGCAACCCCTGCCACTGGCTATATGCCTGTTGCCAAAGAAGACTGATGCAATAGGTGCATGGAGAAAAATCTGCCATGCATGGTTAAGCCAGGGCCTGCATGTTGGCAGTGTAGCTGCCAGAAGTACAGGTGTAGTATCTTCACTGGAGTGAAGGCTGCATGGTCACAGTCAAGGCAACCCCACAGTCACACTGTAACTGAGGCACCTGATGGAGCAGTGGACTGTCCCCAAACTATTGCAGCCACCTGTAACCCCAGCCAATGCCATCCTCAAAGCCCTTCACCATGGCCATCAGCTGCAATATCCTCAGAACCCACCGCTCCTGTGCAGCAGACCGGGAAGTGGCAGGCATCCACTAGAAGTATGACACCCACCACTGGCAAGACAACCAGCTCAGCCACTCCAAGCTCCCACAGGCAAAGTAAGTCCTCCATTTCTTTCATTCTGCTATTCTTATTTGAGCCTAACATAGTTTTCAATGGAGTGGTCATCATCACTCCATCCTGGTGGCAGTCAGGTTGGCAGACATCAAGCCCAGCATCCTGGGGGGTGGTGTCACACACCAAAGGTGTTTGGTGAGGTGGACATGGATACAGCTGATGAATGGAGATGAAGACCATAGCCCTCATGTGAAGAAGGACAGCCAGGAATGTTGGCAGTCATCCCTTGCACAAGAACAGGTCATCAGTGCCAGAGAAAAGAAAGGGAGCAAGTTAAGTGCTGGCTAAAATTCTTAAGCACCTGTGTATGGCATTCTGGTTTTTGACATACCTCCACCATTTCTGCAGATACCAAGACCATTCCCACACTTGCTTGTAGTGCTCAGCCATGTGATCTTACCTTCCAAAATTGGAAAGGATTTGCACACTCCACATGTTTCTACAGCACTCCCTCCAAAAGATGCTCATTTCACTAAATTCTTCTGATATGGCTGCCTCTACATCAATCATTTTGCTTGTCCCCTTTCCTAGGGACCATGGCTACATATATCTACCAGGAGTTCCTACCAGCTTCTGTCCTGAAGCATCCTGGTACATCCCACCCTTGTCTGTGCCCTCTCAGCCCATCCAGCTTGGACAGCATGTTCTTTTTGTCAGTATGACCTCTAGGAGGACATTCTTTGGTTGCCTCAGGTCTGTCATTCACTTGGAAAGGTCATATGTGGTTGTTTCAGTCTCTCCAGTCCAAGAAGCATATGGATCCTTCCTCCCTGCTCCCTGCAATGTCTTTATACTGGTCTCGTCCATCATTCTCATTCTTCCAAGATTGCAACAGCTACAGTATAATCTACTGTTCCCCACTCTCCCTGATTGCATCCATGATGAGTATGATGCACATCTTGCCTCCTTGTTGCAAGATATAGCAGAAGACACTCCCCATTCATCCTCTCTTCCAACAGAGCCTCATTCATGAAGTTTTTATTTGCTTCACTGAGAGGATGGTTTGGGGGGGAAGGTTGCGATCCCCTATGCTCCTGTCACCCCACAGACCCCCAAAGCTTGACCCCTGTTGACATCTGACTCACCCTGTCCACTTTTGGATGTACTATATTGGCATCAGATCAGTGCTGCCTCTCTGTCATCCCACCTTGGCCTAGAAGCAATCTCTTTGAGATGTGACATGCACAGCCTCCCCCTAATGCAATTCCAGTGTGCTTTCCCAGTTCCTGACATCACTTGACTCATACTTTGATGTTCTGACTGTCTTTGACTCACCTGTTGCCAATACTTACCAATCTTTTGACTTTGCTTACCGATTCTTCACTTTTTGGCTTGCTAATCCTTACCAATCCTTACCAATGCTTTCCAAGACAATTACCCATTGCTTACATTCCTTACTCATCAGTTACCAATCACTTACCAAGTGTTTGCACCTTGTTTTCCAAGGGCAACACCCCTGTACTGTATATAAATCACTGTACTTAGATAGCAAAAAAAGGAGACATCAGAGAGCCCCTCTTGCTTGCATTTTATCATCACTCAGTAATTCATTCAGCAGCTTTGATAGTTGAGACTTTATTAAGGGTCTAACTATCGTCTACTTTGCTTATCCTTGTTTATCATCAATATACTTTGCTCCAAGCCCTCCCTGAGCTCAGTGCAGCTTAGGACATCGAATTAAGTCATCATCCATCCTTCTGTAGGCTGACAGCAGTCTACCCTATCACATTCTCTCGCATTCCTGCTCCTTCTTCATCAGGAGCACCCCCAACCCTCAGCACTCATCTTTGAGTGTTGTAGCTCACAAAAACCCTCCCAAAGAAAAGGTTCTACCATCTAGGTACTGCATGGCACACCACCACTCACTCTTTTTGTCTTTTGTGTTGGTTTTGGTTGGTTTTCACCACTGAACCACACTTTGACTCACAGCAGCAACATCCCAAAGCCATCTCACTACCCCATCCCACCCAGTGACCCCCAATGCCACCCCAATGGAGTGTATGGAAGAGGAGATTGCAGCATTGCAGCAGCAGCATATGGAGACAGCACATGATCTGCTAGATACCTGCTGTGAGCTTGCCAATACCCAGTGGGCCCTTGCAGATACCCAGACCAAGTTGCAGACACTTTGCGATGTTGTTGAGGCCTTACACCAGCATCTGTACCTGTTGCCACACTCCTCACCCAATGCACCTGGACCCTCCCACCCCTCCCCCATTGGCTTTGCAATTACAAGTCATCAAGCAGTCATTCCCACTGATGGTGCAAGGATACTTGACCTTGCACCCACTACAATGGTCCAGGAGGTTGCAATTGATACCAGCATCCTCCAGAACCTCCTGGGTGATATGCTTTTAGCCTCTTCTACTCTCCTGCTGCCGCCCCCCACCATTTTGCATACTCATCCACCCCTGGTGTAGGAGAAGCCCAGCCCCCTATCTATGTCTCTTTGGGGGCAGTTGCTGACCATGCCAGTGGGGATGATGCTGATGATGAGGATGCCGCTAATTGGATGGATGTAGATTAACATGTCCATAGAATGTACTATTACCATTTCATTGTCACTGTTCCTGAGAATGATCATCCCTGCCCACTTTTGCTTCACATGGTGCAGATATGGTCTCTCTGGTGTGTGCCATCCCATTTGAGTCTGGCCAGGTGACTGGCCTTGCAATTTATAAATCCACTGGTACCACTAAGCTAGTGCACACTAGCAGCACCCTCAAATCATGCATGGTGCTTGCCACATATGTTCTGCACAATTGCAAGTGTTTAACCCTCTGACCCAGGTTGTGGCCATGCAATCATGGCCTATGCCACTGAATGCTGATGCTGTGAGTGAATAGCACTTGACTTTGCCCATTCCTGTCTATGCCACTCAATGCTGGTGACACCTGACCCCTGCTACTACCATTCCCATGTATGCCCCCTGATGCTGTTGACACCTGACCCTGCCAGCACCTCACATCCATGCCACCAGCCCATTCCCAACTAAGCTGCTGCTCATTGCTGTCTATGCCACTTGATGCTGTCAACTTCCACCCCCTGCCAGTACCTCATATACATACTGCTACCCCATTCCCACATATGCTGCCCAATGCTGTTGACCCCTGCCAGTACCTCATATCCATGCTGCCACCCCATTCCCATCTATGCCACATGATCCTGCCAGCTTCTGCTCCACACTAGTGATTACCACTCCCTGCTTGCTACTGCTGTGTCATGCCAGTGAGTTCTGCTGGCAATGCATGTTGTACTCTCCTCACTACCCCACCCTGTCTCTATATGCAAAACTATGCTGATGCATACTAGTGTATGCAGCCATATGCTTTTGCATCTTCACCAGCTTACCACTTACCACACTGTCAGATGCAAGAAAATGCCACTTTTGCCTCAGTTATGCTCAGATGGTCCTTGCCACTGGTACTTGCCACTCCAGTAATCCACCCAGCATTTGGTGCAATGGCATATCATGTTTCTACCATGTGCTGGGAGTTGCTGCTGTGTGCCACTGTATGCCCTGGATGTACTGTGTTGTCATGTTGGGCTGCCCTATGTACACAATGCAGATCTAGTCTGGGCTATGCTATATATGTCCCTATGACATGATGATAATCTATTTGAAGCCTCTCCATGTGACACCTAAAAATATAATTGTAGCTGATTCTGGTGTCATGCATGACAATACAATTGTAGCTGATCCTGAATGACACATGACAACATAATCACAGCCAATCCCTATGTTATGGTGACAACTTGTAGGTCAGCTCGACCTCCACTGGCCCATGTCACATGACCAATTGTCAACCTCTGCTGGCTGTGTCACACAGCCTAACTAGGTACATGGGCTCAAACAGAAGGCACATGAAAAAGATGCCACAGATGTCATGCTGTGCCAAAGATGAGCCCATGAAGTTACCATTGAACAAGTTGAGTATGGAGGCTCACATAAAATTAGTGAATCTGCTGGGTTGATGTGCTCATACTTCAATTGGAGAGTACCACAGACACACATGACAAATCAATGTGGCTCCAGCATGCTGACACCCAAGGGATCAGGATCCAGTGCTGTGGGAAATCTTGCCAATGCCACTGGCAGTAGTGGAGTGATAACTGACAATGTTTTCAATGGTTACCTTTCTGATCTGTCCGACTCAGTGTCTGATGGCAGTGACATTGATGAGCAAGACCCTACCAAGCACAGTTCCACAGATGTGAGCATGCTGAATGCTCAAGACCAACAATCAGCTCCTGTACAATATGCCCCACCCCTGAAATGTTGTCAACTTGAAGTTCCAGCATGCACATCTTTCCAGCAGGCTCAGATACATCAAGAAAAAGAGCTAGAGTCAGCTCCTGAAGATATTGAGAAAACCATCTGCTCAAAAACAAATGCCTTCAATGTTGGTCAGCATGGACTACAGGCATACCAGGCATGAGCCATCCAAAGCTGCTTGTGGATGGTTGTCCACAATAAGAAGAATCGCATTGAAGCATCTGAACAGGCTGCCAAGAGCCAAGGCTTTGCCAAGTGATGGGGTGGACATATGGTGCACCAATGGGTCAGAAAGTGGGTTTATGTGCACAAGCTTCCAGTTTCATTCTGAGGGTGTCACATAAAGACATTTTCACTGTACAATGACCCTGCAATCTGTGAAGAATTATGATCATTTCTATGCTCAAACAAGTGGGCCATGAATCTGGAAAAACTTGTGGAGTTCAGCAAAGAAAAAATGGTCCCTGCAGCAGCAGAGCAATTGAGATGCCTCAAGGTCTTAAAAAATATATGGAACTCGAGTTGTTCCCTCACATTCAACTGAAACCCAGTAAAGGGATCTCTGTGGCAACTGCATGCCATTTTTTTTAAAATGTGAGGGATTCCAATTTCAGAAGTACAAGAAATCACTATACTATGATGGTCATGAATGACCAGATGTCATTGCAGACTGCCAAGAATTGTTTCTTCCTGCAATGGCAAAGTATGAAGAATGGCTGGTGGAATATATTGTTGGGGATGTTGAGCATGAAGTACCAAGAACATTGTTGGGCAATGCCTTGTGCTTGCAGCACATGATGAAATGGCAGTCCAGGCAAATGACGATGGTGGGGAGGGTTGGGTCCAAGAGCAGTGACTACAAAAGAAAGGGGCAGGGCATGGCTTGCATCAGAGTGATGTAATCTGTCTGACAGTTGGATGGCTGCAGGAGGCAAGTCAGACATTGGAATATGGAAAAAATTATGATGGATATCAGATGGGGGAGCTCTTTGTGAAACAGGTATTGGTTTTCTTGATTTGTAGGACTCCAATGCTCACCAGCAGTATCAATAGTTGCAGGAAAAAATGTTGGTGCACAGTGTGCCATCCTGTTTGCACTGAGTTGATTAGGTAATATGTTAGGTACTTAGCTTACACTTTGTCTTACCTTACACCTCAGACTTTGTCATTTCAAGTCTGAGGTACAGTGTCTGTTCACCACTACAGTATACTTTTCTTTACTCACTACCTACACAGTTTTGTGTCTAGGTCAGTATCTAATAAAGACTTCATCATTTCAAGTCTGAGTTTTGTGTCTAGGCTAACTTGAGTAGCCTTCTGCTCTCCCCCTACCCACAAAAAAAAATAATCCCAGCCTTTGAAAGAGCTCATGGCCCAGGATATCAAATGCTACTTATGGTTGGTAACTCACAGGGCCATTCTGCATATGCAAAGGATGCCCTTCTTGCATCACACATGAATGTAAACCCAGGTGGTAAACAAGCCCACATGCAGGATGGGTGGTTTGTGTGCAATGGAGAAAAGATCATACAGCCAATGATCTTTCCACAGAATCATCCTGAATTCCCTGACATGCCAAAGGGCATGAAACAGGTCCTTACTGAATGTGGTTTGTGGCAGGATAACCTTTGAGCATGGTGCAAATCCCACTGCACATTGTTATGCCTGGGTTGAGTGACTTCATCAAATGGACTAGTCACAAGTGATGCAAGGGGGAGTCTACAGGCCAAACTTGTCATAACCTCTATGGCTCAGTTATTGCAAAAGTCCAACAGAGGTTTGCTCCACTGGTGAGTTCTTTTGGGATCACAATGGGGAGGGAACAAGGATGAAAGCAAAGGGATGAAGCTGAGTTGCAAGCTATTGAAAAACTGAGGATACAGAGTACAGTACAGCCATATAAATACCTCAGGACATGAGCACCATACAGGTCACACCAAGGTGATGGTAAGTATCTGCAGTAGTAAACAATGAAGTAGAAAAGAGTCATATGGTGTCACATGATGGGGATAGTCAAGGGGATGAAGGCTAGACTGGCTGCACAATCAATGCACAGCAAGGAGCCAGACACCAGAGCAAGAAAGAGACATGTGAACAATATAAACAAGTCAGAGATAAAATATGAAATATTCTGCAGTATCAGAGTGGGTGGTGGAAAACTGGATCTCTATGGATCCACAGCATCAGAGGGTAATGGAAATACCATGACTACCAGAGATCTGAGCCATCCCTCGAGCATGGACATGCCTAGTATGATGATGGTTATGAGGGATGCAATGAGGCACATGACACATGTGACTGCTGTAGGGAATGTAATTTCCCTACCAGGGGAATTGGTTTATTTTCCTTGATTTAATTGGTTTTCATTCCTAGATACTTTTTCTACAAGTTATACTTAGATTTCACTTCTTTGGTTGCTGAGTCAGCAGTAGTTCTACTTGTGTACAGTTTTTTTTCTTTAAAAAAAATAGATGAGCTACCACAGATGAGAGATGAAATCAAGCAGGTCATTTCCCTGCACCCAGACAGCCTTAGAAGTCTTCAGATGACTACCAGGATCCAGTCCCAGGCTATAGAAGCTCCTTTTGGCCTACTTGTCCCCTCAGATCTCATCTTTCTCTCAACCTCTCTCCTCATTTAAATCCTCTTCCTACACTGTGAGAATTCAAAAAAGGAAAGACCCCTGATGTGGGTGTAGCATCACCCCCCCCCCTCAAGGTCCTCAGACCCATGAGGACAATGTGGACATATTGGCAGGGCAAGTGGAAAGGGGTTGGTGAGTAGTATAGACACAGGAACAGGTTCAAGAGGTGACAGGCAATGATATGGAGTTGGCAGTTCTTCAAGTGCTGGAGTAAAATGGGAGCCATGTCCATTGTGGCATGACCAATGTCCCAGGTAATGGCACTGGAAGCACACATGTGTATGAAGGATGTGGCCTTCCAGTATGGGGGACTGTCCTCTGAGGTAGAACTGAAGCTGATCAAGAGGGACAGGGACAAAGGGAGTTGCAGGGAGAGGGTAAGAGGAGTGGACAGCATTGAAATACCATTTGTGCATCCTGCAGTAAAACCTCCCAGGTGGAATTGTGAGTCCCAGTTCCCAATTATTCACCACCCTCTTTGTATATTGCTGCACCATCAATGTATTTCAACTCCAAGTCCTGCCAGACCTGCTCCTTCTCCTGATCCAGGGTCATAGGCTTCTTGTCACTTATGACTGAGGGTGATGGTTCCTCTTCCTTCAGTTTGATGCAGTCAAGAAGTTTAGAAGTGGGTGGCATGAGGAACTCTCTGAGTTGTTGATTAAGAAGATGGTGATAAGCTCCTCTGGTTACTGCTTCCAAGATCCCCAAATACCCATGCTCCAACATATTGCTCATGATGACCTCTGAAAGGGGAGCAGTTCCAGACAACTTTTGACTGTGTATTTTGCTGATGCAGCATCCAACTACATCTGATGCTCTGTAGATTTCAGACAGCAGCCCAAAATACTTAACTTGTTCTGGTGAGCACCTGTCAATGTTGTCCCCTTCATGGGAGACATCAAGTGCCCTAACAATGTCCAGGTAGTCACTTGCTGTGACTGGTAGTCATGGCTCATCATCCCTGGCAGCAGCTGCTGAGGTGAGCAGGTCAAGGCCTGTGTGGTGTGCACCATCAGAGTAGGTATCAAAGGTGGTGCATACATGGGTAGACTGGGGAGCATTGGAGGGACCCATGGTGGCTCCTTGATGATTGGTGTTATCACAAGGGATCTCTTTAGCCTTTCCCTTTCCCAACTGGTTACTGTCCCCACTATGGGGGACTCTGGCCTTTGGGACTGGGGTTCTTCTGACCAAGAAACCTTGGAGTGGACATGGTTGGAAAGTGCAGGAGAGAGGGGGCAATATTGGATGGTACTGCAAGATGGGGGACAAGGGGACTAACTCAGGAAAACAGGTGTCAGTCATTAGGGGAAAGGATGGTGCATAGACAGTGATGGGGGGCACAAGTAACTTGGGCCAGTTGCTTGTGGGGTCATAAAGGGATTCTGAGGGGAAGTCAGCATAGTTGTTTTCAGTATTGACAGAGCAAGGGGAGTCCATTAAATTCTGAGGTGACAGGCAAGTTTGTACTGCTTGAGGGCTTCTGAAGTGTGGTCTTTTATATGTTCCTCAGGTTCCCAGGTATTTGATGAATAAGGGAACCTTTTCCATTTAACCAAATATCTTTGTTTACCTCTGCACCTGTCAACCTTGTGATTGATTATCAACTTGACCTCTCATTCAATTTCATCATCTACCAACTCCAGGAGTGGTGCTGTGGGCACAGCACCATAACTTTCATTTTTGGTGAATGGAAAGATCTGAGAGGCATGGAACACAGGATGAACCTTCCAAGTGGGCAGGACCTCCAATCAGAAGGCTACTTGGTGACACTACCTGAGTCACCTTGAAAGGTCTGAGCCATCTGGGCATAATCTTGTTGCACTGGTTTTTGATCCTAAGATGCCTGGTTTCCAAGAGCACTTGATCTCTGACCTGGGGTGGTACATAGGACCCTTTTGAGTGTGAATGCATCAGGTCCTGTGCTTTCTTGTGTGCAAGAATGGTGACATCATGGTTCAAGGCCAGCCTTTCTAATCTTTCATCAACTGAGGGGACTGGGGTAAGTCATTTTTCTGGGTAAGGCAAGGGGTCATAGCCAAGGAGAAGGGAAAATGGGTCATCTTGTGCACAGAATGTATCTGGGAGTTATGAGTGAACTTGGCCAAAGGCAACTTGGCAGACCAAGAGTTAGGTGCTTCTGCACAATAGAGACATAAGTATCCTTCAACTTCCTGGTTTACCTGCTCACTTTCCCTGTTGGTCTGAGGATGGTATCTGGATTGAGAGCTTTGGAGTAACCCCTATTGCTTTGTATAACTGCTCCATAAAGGATGATGTGAACTGGGGTCCCTGATCTGAGATTACCAATTCCAGGATACCATATTGGGAATAAATGAATTGATGGAGGAGTTGGGAAACCCCAATGGAGTCAATTGTCTTGTGACACAGAATGAACAGCACAGCCTTTGTAAGGCCCTGATCAACAATTGTGAGAATAGAGTCATATTTCTGATCTCCCAAGATGGGAAGATCTGTAATAAGATCCATGGAGATTTGTTGGAATGGGAAAGCTGTTTTTGGGGTTGTATGGGGTATGACAGGGGGTGTCAGTGGGTGAGCCACGACCTTTGTGGTCTGACACAGAGGACAACCTGTGATGTGAGCCTTGATATCTTTTCCCATACCTTCCCACCATACTTCTTTTCTCATTTTTGTGGCCATCACTTTTTGTCTGGGGTGTCTGGCTGACTTGTGATCATGATACAAGTGCATACAATGGCAATGGTCCTCTGGTGGGATGTACAGCCTAGTCATCCCAAACCTTTTTGTTCCATCATCTTCAATGGTTATGTTATCCTTTTGTTCCAGTCCTGTAGAGTCCTTTGATGTGTGGTTCTTGACCTGCTCATACAGTTCCATTGAAATTGCATAAACTCCCCATGCTCCTTTGTCAATATTCCTCAAAGGGCAAGCATCAGGCAGCCTGTTCTCCTTTGGTTTTTCCTCAGATGGGTGAGAATAAGGCTTTGAGTTATTTGTGCTGTGATTGAGATGTGCAGGAAGATGTCTGATTTGAGTAAGACAGTTAATTTTTAGATGTTTTTGTATTTTTGTAAGCAAAAAGAGAGGTGAAACAAGGTGAATTTGTGGATCCACCCCCCTCCAGAAGCCAAAAGTTCATCAGTAGAACTGTGGCAACAGGGGTGGGCTCCTCTTGGGTTCCCTTCTGGGAGAGAGTATCAGCCAGGACCTGTAAACATCTGGCTTGCCAAGAGAAATGGATGGGATAGGACTGGATGGTAGCAGCCCACTGCACCTGTCTCAGGGTTAACTGCTGGGGCTTGTGGTAGTACTCCAAGTTCTTGTGGTCAGTAAAGACCACAGTGGGCTCAACAGGGGAGAGGAGATAGGGATGGAAAGCCTTCAGTGCTCTGATGACCACAAGCATTTTGAGGTCATAGACTTGGTAGTGCTGTTCAGCCCCTACCAGGGACTGAGAAAGGTACAAACAAGGGTGTCACTCATTGTCAGCTCCCTTCTGGGCAAGGATGGCCCCAGTTCTGAGCTTCAAAGTGTCTGTAAAGAGGGCAAAGGGCTTTGAGAAGTCAGGGATAGTGAGGACCAGGGAGGAGCATAACAAAGTTTTTAGCTTTTCAAAAGCAGCATTTTGTTTGGGGGTCCACTGGTAAGACACTCCCTTCTTTGTGAGATCATGGAGGGGTCTTGCAATGCTTGAGAAGGAAGGGATGAACTTGCAGTAGAAGTTGCAAAATCCAAGGAAACAATGAAGTCCCATAAGATTGTCAGGGGCTTCCCACATGGAAATGGCATCAGTCTTCATCAGCAAAGTCTCCATACAGCCTTTCCCAATGACCATTCCAAGGAATTCTACTTCTTTGGCCTCAAAGCAGCACTTGCTAATCTTGAGGTGCAATTCTTCCTTCATGCAAATTTCCAGGAACTCCCATACCTGTTTACAGAGTTCTTCGAGGGTTTTGGCATGGACTATGACATCATCCATATACCCTACTTGCTTTCCACA